TGGACAGAGCTGACAGATCAAGTGAAGATTAAAGAGAACAACAAAGGAAGCACCATCCCCTACGCTCGGTGGCTGGCGCTGATAATCCACAATATGATGGAAGCCACCCCCACAATCCCTAAGCGTAAGGAAGACAAGCACTTCACTGCGCCCAAGCTCAAATATTTCCAGAGGGACAGCAACAAAGCTGAAGCACTGCCTATTCCGGACTCCCTGCTTGATCTAGCAAATCCAAGGGATAAGGCAGTCATTGACTACAAAGAGTCGTTGAAGAGAACGGTTCCTATGGTTCAGCAAAACCCAGCTGGACCTTCCCCGGGAACCAAGCCGAGAGCAAGTGAGGATAAGAAAAAGAGAGCCCCGCCACAGAAACCAGTGGCAACCCGGCCTAATGATGATCAGTCTGCTAACTCTTCCGAGAGGACCCAGACTGCTGAGGGCCACCCTAATGCTGAGGACACTGCCAATGAACCATCAAGCCAGGCCCCTTCTAATAAGGCTGGTGGTGAGGCCTCCGATAGCATGGCCAAAGGGACTGAGCGAAGAGATGATGATGATGATGATGATGCAGATGATGATGATGACATGGAGGGAGTCTTGATCAGCAACAGGAAGAGAGCTGGAAAACAGGCCATTCCGATAGACTCCGACTCCTCGTCAGAAGATTTTGAGGCTGCATTCACACCCCGACCACTCAAAGGAATTATCATTAGTGAGCAGCGCTCCAAGAAACGCAACGAAAAGCCTGCATCATCACAGCCTATGAAGAGGCTCAGAAAGAAGAGTGCAGTAGAAGAGGAGCTGGCACTGTACGACGACTGCGACACCTTCCTCACCATAGACCGAACCACGCCCCTAGGAGCAGGAGCTGACCTTGTCAGTTCCCGGGTAGAAGTCGCAGCATCCGGTTCAACTGCGCATGCACAGCCATCTCCCAGCCACTCTCCAGCCTCCCAACAGGCTGGAGTTTCAATAACTCAAGGGGAATTCATACCGACCTCACTGATTCCTTCCGAATCTGTTGAGAGACTTAGTGGTCAACAGCCCCGAACCACTACCCCCATTCATTCTATCACATCGAGTCTAGGTGTCACCATTCCTACATTTTTAAATTTTTCTAGGACACCTACACTATTCACTGCACATACAGGTGCACTCACCCTGAACGCAACGACCGGAGTGCAAACTATGATGGTCGGAAGCCCTGCTACGCCAACAATGCCTCGATCATTGAACGCAGGCCACACATCAGCTATCTTCACTGATGCTGTGACAACAGTTACAACCCCTGTAACTGGTACCACAATTCCTGAAGACATTCTCGTATATCTGAACAGCTTTCTCGAGTCTACCATTAAACCATGGGTGCATAAAGCAATAACCGCTAATGCACAAGACTCTGGAAGTACCCCAGTTGTTCAGCATATACCATCCAAACCCCAAACAACACAGACCCCAACCATTTCCATACCTATTTCCAAACCCTTAGCCATAGAAAACCAACAACCATCCACATCAAGGGGATCCCAGGATACAGAACTAGTATTCTCCCCTACAACGACCAAACCCGACTTAACCCCGTACCCTTCGAAGATCTTGTAGCTGAGATCTTTGACCGTATACTAGACGTGGAAGAAGGCAACCTTACCCCTCTTCAAAAAGCCCTTCTCCATGCTCTAGATACACAGAACACATGTCGTGACAGTCTCCGTGGCGCTAAACGTTCACATGAGGATCCTGATGATTCGGATTCTCATGAGGGGGAGAACAAGCGCCAGCGGATACTTGAACATGTTGCTTCTACGAGTCAACCCTCTACCTCCACCAATGAGCAACCTACTACTTCAGCCAGCCAAAAATCCCTAGCCTCTCTCTCTAGCATGGTCGAGCTAGACAAAACATTCCGAGGCGCATCTCCTATAGATGTTGACCAAGGATGGAATGGAAGTCCTGATGATGCTACCACGAGTACATCTTTCTACTCAGGCCATCAGCTAGAACCTAGTTCGAACCTGATGTCAACAGGCAATCGTAATGATACCAGAGTCACCAAGCCTAAATCAAGGGAGGATCGGCCGCATGTAACGAAGTATAGAGGTCTGGTCTCTGCGCAAGAGCATCGTGTTGAGATAACTGAGGATCCCTGCAAGTCTCACCAGGATCCCGATGCTACGCCAGACATGTCGCCACAGCAGCAGCAGGATCCCTCCAGCCAACACGATGATCAAACACCCGATGAACTTGAAGAAATTCTTGTTTATGACAAATGGCCCCGCCAGTGGACAGAATGGGATGATCTTAGAGTGGAGGCGGAGCAGTACGAAATGTGTCGAAGCTGGCAACTCAGAGAGTTTCTCAATAAGTATCATGCACAAATGATTGGGTTCGACAATGATGAGGTAAAAGAAGGAGAAAAGTACAAAGAGCCTAAATCTATCACTAAACAAAAGACTACTCCGAAACCTCTGGACAGTGTCAGGATTAAAACTCCCTTTCTGGAAGAAATCAAAGAACGAATTTGGCGCACACCTGAGAAGATCAAGACCTACAGAGAACTCAGGATGCATGGCATTAATCATCTCAAAGGAAGAGACAGAGGTGGAAACTTGTACATGCTCGGACACAGATCCACGAGAGAACGACGACAAACTTTGAATCATAATCTTGCAACAAGCGCATGTCCAGTACAAACAATCTTGAAAGTAACAGAAGAATACTTGGAGAAGATCAAATTCATGGTCTTTCATCTACAAAGAACTGATGGATCAACATTCACCTGTCAAGAAAATGATTTCTTTCTGTTACATATGGACGACGTCTATCAAATGTTTATGAGATGCAGAGAGCTACCAGTTCATAAAGATAGACTTGCAAAGGAAGGTTTTGAAGCCATAAAAAGGTTCATGATGAGACAAATTCGTTATCATGGAGGTCATGATCTTCAGATGGGTCTAGAAATGAATTATCCCAAAGTGAATCTAACAAAGCCAGACCTTGACAGACCCGGGATAGAAGACTTCCCAGAAGATCACATCTTTGACAACCCAGTCTCGGTCATCTATCTGAATCATGAAGGAAAGAAGCGATTTTTGTTTGTCAGTGAAATAAACAAATATTGCGATGGGACACTAAAGATCATCAGAAATAGATTGCAATAAAAAAGGGAAGAGCTTGTCAAGAAGTCAACAGAAGCTACAAAGGATGAACTTAGGGAGCTGGAAAGAACAGAAGATATCCTAAAAGCCATAAAGACACAGCTTGAAAACAGGAATTCACTCAGGAGCTATGAGCATGCACTTAATCTCAGAAAGAACTATTACAAAGCTCAGAAGTGAAGAAACCCAGCAAGACGGCACTTGACCACAAAGGGGGAGATTGTTAGAACTTTTATTGTGGGTCAAGTTTGTCTGTAATGTCTTGTTTAAATAAAGTAGACTAGTTATACCATTTACGGTATTAGATTAGTATTTATTATGTAGCAAATAAGGTAAAGGGAATAAGGCCCAAAAAGGCCTTGGCCCAACTTCCAAGGTTTACCTAAATCGGTAACCTGTACAGCGCCTATAAATACGCGCCTTGTGTACAGGTACCGATATCGATCAATACACATTAGCCTTACGCTGCCCAAATAGTTCTCGATACAGAAAGAAGAAGAACTTCTATGTTCTAGATATCGCCCTATTATTATCAGATGTTCTTTTCTTCTGTTTAATCGATAAATACCATCTAGCTGTGTGTTAGTCTGCATAAACTGGGACCAACAACTTTTTATGATCTTTCATATGACATCAATATCACATATATAAAAAAAAGATGAAGTTTCAATTATTTGAGTTTTTCAGACCCAAAAATTTTCTCAAATATATTGAAATTCTAAAAAAAGATGAAGTTTCAATTGCATGTATCACTTTTTTTGGGATAAAAAAATCCCTAATTTATGTGTCTTTACACCGAAATGTTTGACTCTTTAAATAATAATTATTAGAAAAAAAATAAATAGAAAAAAAATCAATGTATAGTTATAAAAGTAAGATTTCCATTAAAAAAAATTGCTGGGTGAATATATTGACGGTGCTGGATTGCAGTAAAAACAGAATTGATTGAGTGAATACGTATAAATTGATGGGGAATTTGATTTATTGACGGAGATGAGTTGCGGTCAGCCTAATATAAACATACATCATTCGAAGGATTTGGCTTTTCATTCTGCTAAAATTCCGCAGACTATCGAGCGTGAGTCCATCTTCTTTTTAACAACCCAGTTCGACCGATTTATCACTTAAATCTCAACATTAAGAAAGTTTTATATATAAATGCTTACTTTGATAAAAGAATCAATACCTCACTTTATTTGTATTTTACTTATAATAGTAGTCCATATGATTTTAAAAATGCACAACATATTTAATATTATATAAAAGGAAAATGGATAAATAATTTAGTAAAGTTAGAAATACCTCCTCCATTTTTTCACTCCATATTAAATTGGAGAATAAGTATATTAGTTTATGGTGGACAAAAACTAGTCCAAAAATTACAACAGAGAACATATATAATACGGAGTACATAAAATACATAAGGTATGGGCCATAAAGACTGGCCCAAGAACATAATCTACGGCTAGAGTCCAGGTTGGAATCCAAAATGGAATGAGTTAAAATCTGTCGCTGACCGTATAATGCCAATTCCATGTCATTTGAGCCATACATTTTTCAGAGTCTTCTTTTGCGAGGTGAGCGAGTCTTCGAGTCATCGCTGTTGAGATTTCGATTCTTCTTGGAATTTCCTGCAATTAAGTGTTGTTTATGATGTAGTGATCCCCTTGTTTGTCTTTTTGTACGCTACTAGTAATCTCACCTGTGCGATGCACGGCATGAGATTTTTTTTAATGTATTTGTGCTCGACAATTCAAAACACTCTATTTATTGACAACACTATGCAATGCCATGTAATAAAGATATACATAAACGCAATACATAAAACACACTTATAATATTGTGGTGAAAATTAGATTACAAAGCATTGCTTAAAAGTTCAAAACCATCACACAAATACGTTGAAACCGTGACATTGTAAATATCCTTTTCAAGTAAACCTAAACATTGTTGAAAACTTCTTTGAATACTACATTTTCAGTCTTGTCAGTAGGTCCTTCATCTTCATCAACAATCAGAATTTTCAAACCACGCCGATTTGTCACCCTTGATACTGCAACATACAACTGTCTGTGGGTAAATATGAGTTTTTTCAACAACAATCCAACACGGGACAAAGATTGACCTTGACTTTTATTAATAGTCATAGTATATGAAGTCATAATAGGATATTGCCGCCGATGAAATTTGAAAGGCAAGCTCGTATCCGATGGTGTCAAGGACAATCTGGGAATTAATACTTTTTGTCCGGTATTCACACCGGTTAAAATCTCCCCCTCCAAAACATGATCACCAAGCCTCGTTAGAATAAGGTGTGCCCCATTACACAAATCCATCGAATGATCAATATTTCGCAAAGGCATAACCAGGGTCCCTACCTTTAACGTTAATACATGATTCGGCACACTGGACAATTTAATACAATTTAAGAACCCAAGTGTGTGAAGCTCCGTCATTAGATCTGTCGTGGAATCTACCCTAGATACATTGTCAGAACTAAGATATGTCCTTGAAACTTCACCAACATTAAGTGCTGTCATATAGTCATTAACAGCCTCAACCACAGTCAATGTCGGAGCCAAAATTGCATGGTCACGTAAACAACTCACATCACCAGCAGATTCAACATATTCCGGAAATATGATTTCTACGATCCTAGCTATAGGATCTCCATCCGTGTGTATCAATAGATATTCAGGAATAGTAATACAAACATGCCCATCATTACTTTCACCAGCAACGCCGTCACTAATGCTTGCAATCCAATCTGAAAAGATCTTCAAATCGTAAGAATCCGATGGATTAGTCATGTTCTGGAGGCGCATATTTTTTGTGAGACGAAAGACTGTGCATTCAGACCACATATAAGATGAGTTAATCATCGCATTGACTACGTCCTGCCTACTCTCATGCGGTATCACATGCAACACCTGCCAAAAACAAATCATCAGATGAGTACCCTCTGTAACGCCTCAAAATCCGGTCTAGTGGTTTAGATACATATGAATAAATTACTTTATCAAATTTAATATTTTCTCCTACTTCGTGTAAATTTAAAATATAATTTTATTAAAAGAGTATTAATAATAAATTAATAGTAAAATAGTATACAATCTAACAGTCTTTTAAGATATTTAATTTAACCAAATTGGAAACATCAATACGTGTCTCAAACATTTAAAGAAATTTTCCTACTAATCTTATAAGCAATACGGACAAACATATGTACTCTAATATAAATTATAAGAGCCAAAAATATTCAATTGATTAGGGATGGGCAGCCACATGAGTTCAAATCAAATAAGATATTTTACACCCACAATGGGCCAACTAGTCTCAATAAATAGTAATGGAAATAATTATGTCCCCTAAGAGCTTTGTCTATTATACGTACTATTATACTACTCCATATTATATAAAGACTATATATAGATACATTAGTGTTGGTCCCGTTTAATATGGTAATCAGTCTAGAGGGGGGGTGAATAGACTGATTGATTTTTCAAGTCTTTCTCAAAGTCCAAACTGACTTATCAGAGAAGGTCTGATTCTGGTGACAGAGAAAGGCTGGTTCTGATATCAGAACAGGCCTTGGCAGCGGATTTAGAACTGTCCGGGTAGCCTCACAAATACTAAGGCAAATGCCTTTCTGATAACTCTGAAAACAAGATCTGCTGAACACAGATTCCAAGTCTTAGAGTTAATCAGTTAATGTCCTAAGTGCAGAAATATAAATTGCAGTAAAGTAAATGACACCGGATATTTTTATAGTGGTTCAAGGAACTACTCGTTCCTCTAGTCCACTGTTCCACTAGCTTTGAAGTAGATCGGTTACAAAGTTAATCCCTAGCACTTAAGAAGCACTCCTCGTCTTCTTCAAGCCTAGATGCCACCCAGGATGCAATTCCACGTCCTGATGGCTGATCCTTTCACTCAGCTTCCCGGAAGTATCACCACTTCACTACTGCAGTTACTTGGACGCCCTTCTTTTCAGAAGATGTTCTAAAAGACAAAGTTTTCTCCAACTTGCTTCGTTACAAAGGATATGTAGATGAAGTTCTTGAAGGTTGAAGAACAAAATGAACTTTGCTCTTGTTGGGGTTGAGAGATTTTGAGAATATGAATCTTCCCAACGTAAGCTTCTTTCTTGTTGATGTTTAGGGAGTGTGAATCTCAAGAAGGCTTGTATGATGATGAGAGCAAGAGTTTTTGCAAAGTTGTTCAGTTGTTCTTCATGGAATATCTTTTATACTGGGGTTGTCTGCCCATTGCAGGAGGAGACAACTGCATTGAATGCGCATACTGTTGACTTGATCACCTGTTTTGGAAGCTTTCTATTTTTATAATATATCTTCCAGATTTCTCGGTCAATCATTTTCAATTAATCCAAGGCGTATCAGGTTCATTTATTGAGCATTAAATGCTTTCCTTTCACGTCCAGTCTTTTAGCCGTTAGGGAATTTCCCGTTAGTTTAACTGACGTTGAAAGCAGCCTTGAAGTTCTTCTAAGTGTAAGTCGGGCTCTGATCATGCTATTCTGATAAGTTCGATTCTGATGCTCTTCTGATGAGTGCCTCTGATGCTTCTCAGAAGTTGAATTCTGATGGAGCCTTTTTCACCGAACTCTGATGGTTCTCTGATGTAGGCTTCTGATGAGTCTTCTGAAGAACAACTCTGATGCTTCTCTGATGAGCAACTCTCATGACTTCCAAGAGCAACTCTGGAAGCAAATCTCATAGAGCAACTCGGATCAGATTCACTTAGCAATTCTGATGTCGACTAAACTAATACTTACATCAGAAAATACTAATACATGAAATCTAATTTGGGGGTACTATAAAATTCTAATCTAAACATCCTAGCATCATCAAAATCTAATTACATTTATTCCTTACAATTAGCTAACCCAACACTTCCATTCGGCCAGCCACAAGTAGTTCTAAAAATATATATACGTATATATATATCAACTGGGAAAGGTTTGAGCAAGTAGAAGAGATAGGACCAATTTGAAGAAAATAGCTCCGGGTCCAATATTACTAACGTTTCTCATATAAGGTCAGTACGTTTCCGCCCCCATTTTATTTAATGGGTATTTTAATATTTTCATTTTAGTATAATTTCCATCCCCGTTTTCAGTTATGATATGGGGATGATGTACATCGCATAAATTTAGAAATATTTTTATGCTCCGATCCAACCATGTGTATCTTAATTCATATTTAGTACTCGTTTATAAAAACATATGTAATGATATTATCTTTTGTACCGACTAAATATATAGAATAGAAGTTAAGAGTAGTGGAAATAAAACCTAAACATTAAAGGGCATTTTCCAGAATGTATTTTGACACATTAATGTGGTATATAAACATGCATAGGTATAAAGAAACCGAACATACATATATTACGTAGAGGTAGTGATGGGATATGATTTTAGGCAGTGCTTGTTTTTTTTTACATATTACGGAATACTAGTATGTAGTATGCATGTATACGTATGTATTTTTATATATGTCAAGCACGATTAATATATACTTAATATTAAGTTTGATTTAAGATATACATCTACAAATATACTTTACCTACATGTGGATATCTCCAAGTACATATAAGGGATCCTAGTAAAAATAAAGTGACGTAAATATGCATATTAACTTAGATTTATATTGCTCCGTAGGTATATAAGTGGTGTCCTATAATCAGTCAAAAGTATAGCCTAAAAATTTAGTATAACTAATTTACTTATTAAAGTTGTGGTTCATGGAAATTATTAGGAGTACTAACACATGGAAATTATTAGGAGTACAGAGTACTGTACTAACAGTAACCGACTTAGCTAAAAATAGGTAGACATACTTGTAAAGTGTAATAATACGTGTAATGCTTATATTCAATTCATGAATTAACTTGTTTAGCTAAGTTACACGTAGCTAGGTACTGTATATATAAAAATGTGTATATGCAATTATGGACTAAAATTAACATACCAATTAAGCATGTATAATTATTGTAGGTGTTACCTTCTACGTAAATAAAAAAAAGGTAGGTTATTTTTATAATAAGTTTAGTTATAATCCAAAGTAATGATTAGGCTATATATATGTTGAATTAAGGTATACGGTATATTTTGTTGAAAACAACTCTTTAAAACTATAAATAAAAAAACATAAAATAAATAAAAAATACGCTGCTTAGATATTTAATTAAAGAAAAACTTCCGTAAAGATTTATGTATTTTTTTTAATTCTTGAAATCTGAAAATGTCCCTAATGTAAGATATATATTAAACTCGATATTCTTATTGTAAACAAACTAAAGAAAATAAAGAGAAATGTTTCCTAAATGCCTTACTCCTGATCCGGCACTCTGACACGAATACTCCTGATCTGATCTGTTTAGTGTACTATGTACACTCCTGAAATTCTGTTTTAGAGGAATTAGTGTTCTCCTGTTTAGTGTACTATGTACACTCCTGAAAATCTTTTTAGAGCACTATTACTCTTCTGTTAAGGTTCGAGTCTCTTCGGTGATCTCGTCCTTTCTGTTCAGCTAGCTTCTGTTAGGGATTGGTACGTGTAGCTCCGGCGATTACGTTTCCATATCCTTTCTGGGTAATGTGGGTATGGACTTTATGTTCATATTCCTTACCGTTAGTATTCCTCTCTCTAGGTCCAGTTTCTTGAGTACAAGGCTTAAATGAATTTATTAATAATCTACCTCCGGATAAGAAATATTTGATAATTATGATATCTGAATATGCTTTTGATCTGTATATGAGTATTTTTTTTATTCTCATAACAGCTAATCGGCTCACTCAGGTATGTCATATGTTTGTTTGACTAATGTTAATTATGTTATGTTGCTATATGATTTAAATATGTGATTATTATTATTATTATTATCATTATTGTTATGATTATAGTTATCTGTATTTGTACTGTACCACTCAGCACATTGCTGAGCGGGTAGTTGTTTGTTTTTCCTACCCGTAGGTTGAAGTACATTCAGCTAAGATAAGGATGCTAGGATGGAAGGAGGCATAGGATTCATGTGCATATCATGTGTGTATTGTTTATAAATAAACCAATAAGAAGCAAGTTTGACTATAAACTGATCTCATCATTTTCGTTTTGTAAATGCTTCCGCAAATCTTGAAATATTTGTGTTGTATAATATTAAGTGATTTATGACAACTTGATATTTCAGGTATCGAAAAATAAGTTGACGTTTGAATAACGATGATTTATTTAAATACTAAATTTTGTTTTAAATAATTAAAAGTCTTTTGGTCAAAATCTGTTTTGATTCCTGCTACGTGACACACCGCTCGGGTCGGCGGGGCCGGTTCGGGTAGGGTGTTACATTTTGGTATCAGAGCATTTGGTTTTAAAAGCGATTCTGAAAAAAAAAAAAATAGAAAAAAATTAATATAATTATAAAAAAAAAATAATAATAAAGGGTTTGACTTTATTTAAAATATGTGTCTTGCATTGCATTTTAGAAGTCCGCCTCACATCCTGGTATTTAGTTATATCATAGATAACTAAGTTATTATGGAACTTTTAAATTTAGGCGCCTAAAATGTCATCTGAAGATCCAAGTGAACATTCTGTGCATGGATCTGAACATGCCAGCGCTCACCATGATGGATACCATGTTCCGAATCCGTTCATACAGCAGATGACTGGACTGTTCCAGCAAATTGTTCAAAATGTGATCCCGATTAATAACGGAGATGCGCGGGAGTCCATTACGATCGAGAAGCTAAAGAAGAATGGCGCCTCCATTTTCTTTGGAAAAAGGGGGGATACTCCGGAAATTGCCGAATTTTGGCTTGAGCAAACTGCTCGAGTCTTAGAAGACTTACAGGTGCCGATAGCCGATCGCCCACGACATGCTATTAGTTTGCTGCAGCATGGAGCCTACG